TATATAAAAAAAGTTCCAATATGCGACGGCGACATCTCCCTTTTTGTCCAAACAGCACTCCGTCCTTAAATTATTTAAATTATTATAAATTGTTATGTGTATTTAATATTTATTATCTTTGTTTTCACTTTCTGTGTGAATAACTATTGGTCATATTTTGCCTCATATTATTATCATTTATCGTATCACTATTATGTTAAGATTTATATTGTTTACCTTTTACGGCCAACGCCCTTGTTGCAAACATATAAAAACATACAAGTATACAACTAATATTAAATAACGAATTGAACAAAGTTTGAGTCATATAGAGTTGGTACATTTAAATGGAAACCAAGTGCACGGGATCAGCTAGTAAATAATAATTTACCAAAACATTACAACAATTATCGCATAAAAACAAATAAAATATGTAGGTACAGTATAAATAAATAAACAAATTAAAATTAAACGAACTATTAAACAAATTTTTTTAAATCGTTTTTTCACATTGAATATGATGACCAGATGACGACAACAAATTGTGACCACCACGCTTACTTTTTAAGTTAAACTTATTACTTATAACTTAATAACGTTATTTTCATAAGTTCTAAGTGTCCATTAAATACCTTAAATAGGACCTTTTTCAATTACATGTAGGTGCTACACAGTAATCATTTATCATTAGTTAACTACCCCTAATCAATATTTAAAAAAATCAACAATTTAATTTTTAAACATTTTTATTGAGGCTACCTTGGTTTTTGAAAATATCAATTTTTTATTGTGATGTTTAATTTATTTTCTACTGTTTTTATGGTAGCTAATAGCTGTTATTATAATTAATAATTTGTAATCTCTAAGTATTATACCCAGTGGCGTATTTTGGGTGATTTATCGGGGGGTGTCCAGAGTTGTGTTATAAATTATATTGAATGAATATCGATATTTTTTCCGATTATTTTATTTTATTGTCCTATAATGGCGTTCGTCCCCAATGTGTTAATTATTATTTAATTTATTTGAATAAATAAGTATTTACGTTATGCAGTAAACACCTGGTACAGTGCCACAGTGGTGGACGGTGGTACGTACAGCACGACGGTAGACGAAAAAATTAATGACAAATTGACAAATAATACCATAATAGTATAATCATTGATTATAAATACGACTAATACAATGGTATTATAATATGGCCGATTTCACCAACACAGTTAATCACGGTTAAACTTCGATTACGCTTAATCGGCTGATAACAGATATTTAACCGGGCAAATTCGGCCGATTAAACTCCGGTTAACTGTGTTGGTGAAATCGGCCTTAAGAGGATGTCACATCCCCGCATGTGTTTCTCCGTTTTACAAATGTACAACATAGAAAAAACTGTTTTGCGCGGCACAACTTTTCTTGCACCATATTTGCTGTAGAAGTAGAACTACCAAATTTTCACAACACGTAAAGAAGAACTTTATCTGTGGAACAGGCAGTGTTGGGGAAGTTACTTATTTTTGGTAATTAAATTACATTACTAATTACTTATCAAAATTGTAACTAAATTATTTTTAAGTTACTTTTTTTTAATATGGTTAAGTTACATTACTTTTGAGTTTAAAAAGTAACTGAATTACAATAGAAGTTACTTTTTTTCAAAAATATCACTGGAGCTTAATAATCATGTTGTCAATATAACAATACATAAACTCAATAGGTAATACCAATCAAAAATGTGAAATTATTAGCAGATACTCATTTTGCTACACTATTATTATTATTATTATTTTTATTGTACTTAAGCCCGGAAACTATGGCCATAAGCTGTTGTAGGGGATTATAAACTGTGGTTGGTAAATTTGGTATGGTAAGGTGTTGTTACGGTATGTATGTAAACACGTGTAAGTGTGGCAAGGTTTTTACTACTACGAATCCGGGTGGTCACCCATCCGGGAACTAGTAGCAGCGGGCGCAACTTACTCTCAGTCGTATTGCGCGACTGGTAGCTAGCAGCCAAGCCACATATTTATTTATTAATTATTTTTTTTTTATATTAACTAACCCGCAGCAATTGGGTGGTTTTCAACTGAGATGGAGGGTACGGTAGGTTTTTGTAAACACGTGTGTTTTAGCTTGAAAGAATTTCAAATTGGGCACCTGTAGTCTGCCCGTTACCGAGATTCAACCAGCTACGGTGCGCGTTGCCACCAACGCCTTAGTCCGCTCGGCCACTCCGTCTCCCTCACTTTTATTATTATTACTATTTATTGATAGTTCCAACCAGTGGCGTAGCCAGGAATTTTTTATGGGGGGGGCTAAGTATACAAATACAATGTGTTTTTTATTTACGCTTTTAATTTTTTTATTAATCTTGATAAAATTCTAAGGTCAACATCGGTCAATGGGGGGGGGGGCTATAGCCCCCTTAGCCACCCCCCTGGCTACGCCACTGGTTCCAACAATGCTGTATACGCAGACGCTGACGCCGTGAGCCGTCCGCGACGATACAACACAGAGTACAGAGTAAAGATAAGAATTCCATTCTAAAAGTAACACTTTATAGTCGAACTGTCAATAACATTATAATGTATATAACAAAAATAGTACCTACAGTTCATACAATTTTACCTATAAATTAAAATACTAATAAGTTATATTATGTTATATTTTAATATTTACCTACACACAATATTATCAATACCTAGGTACGTTCTAAAAAATGTATTAATCCAAAAAAAAGTAACGAGTAATTTAGTAAAAATTACTACAAAAAAGTAACTTAAATTAGGTACATATAAATTACTTACAATAAAATGTAATTAAATTACCATCAAATTACTTAAAAAGTAATTTCGTTACAGTAACTTGTAACTTAAGTTAAGTTACTCCCCAACACTGGCAACAGGGTGCTCTTTTTTTAAATAGCAATATCCAATCATTTTTTATAAGCAAAAAAAAAAACAAAATGTTGAGATGCAAATAACTTTTATTGTATTTATGTTATCTAAAATATGGGCACTCTGTTGCATATACAATTTTCTATCCTATATGTTCACAAATTTTGGAGCCACTACTACAAACACAGAAAGATAAAAGTTGTCCCTCGCAAAACAGTTTTTGCTATGTTGTACATTTGTAAGACGGAGACAACACATGCGGGTGTGACATCCTCTTAATAATGAAATTTATAATTCTCTAAACTTATAAACTGTAAACTATAGATTAAATTAATATACCTACTACATACGTTCACAATATTTTCGTTGTTATTGTATTTTCGCTGCGGCCTGCGGTTATTTTTACAATCGTAATGAACCGGTGAAATTCAAATAATTTCTGGATATCCCCGATAAATTGTAGATAAGTCTCTGTGTCGTCGAATCCAATAAAATTAATTTCAGTTTTGCCGTTTATACAAAAATACCATTTATTTTATAATAAAATAAAAATAGTATAGGTACTGTATACTATAAAATAAATGATAATACCAATTTCCAATATATAAGGACTTTTTTTTTAAGTCGGGGGGTGTCCAGACATGGATGACACCCCCCCCCCCCCAAATACACCATTGATTATACCATATTCACACCGTAGTAGTATATAGAATGACGCGTATATCGGTATTCTGTGTGAATAGTGAATAAGTTCATATAAATAGCTTAAAGTTAACCTACATGGTTCACCATACCATGTTTGTACCTGGTATGGTGACTATTACCATTGATTAAATCATAGAACAATATTATGCTACTATTACACGCTATTACCTACTCAGTATACCCATTACCCGCCGCGAAATAAGAAGATGACTGCGCGGAGGACCGTTTTGCGTCCGTTTCGCACAGCCGGTTTTTGATTGGTTCCCCGAAACCTCCGGAAGTCGGTGCGGTGGAGGAAGTTGTTTTGCCTGCGCGAGCGCGACAGTCATCTATAGTGAATACTGAATAGTGATACAACTGAGTAACTGACATTTTCTTGTCTTATTGACAAAAAAGATCGGGCCACCACTGAATAGTGAATTGTTGTGATTAAATATATTTGCTTAATGCTTATGTATATAGGTAGGAATGCAAATGATAAAAATTATGATTCTGATTATAAAATTACCTATTACTGTCTACTGCAGAAGTTAAGCCATACAGTAATCTTATCTATATACATAAATATTATTTTGTATTTTTGTAATTTTACAATAATAAATTGGCATTGACACTCGTGCATATTAATAGCTGATAATAAGGTTTTCTTTATTTTTAAGTTATCATGCAAAGCATTGCCAAATTGTTTTTTTTTTTTTCATAACATATGTTTATTGTAAAATTTTTTTTTTACAGATTACTTTAGTCTGATTACATACATATTTTCTTTTCTAAATAGAAAATAATAGAAAATATTTGTTATTGATATATTATGAAGTAAACTAGTGTAATAGCTTATGTTTAAAATATATTATATAATGCACAAATTATTTTCGTAATTAAGAACCAAATTAAAATGTTTAGTTTTTATAATAGCCAATAGGTATAAATTTTATCCATATAAGATTGTAAGTTGTAACTAACAAATTTTACTGAATTTAAGGTTTGTATAAATTATAATAGAAAATAAAATTATAGTGTACTCTACACGTACAAATAGTTTTAATATAATCATAGGCGCAAATATGAAATAGTCTAAATTTTTTAGGGAAGTCCCACGCCCACTATAATATTTTATTAAAATTATATAGCATAGTAGGTACTACAGTACTACACTAATTCTTTAATAAGAGGTATTTTACAGAAATTTTGATTGAGTAAGTCTCCCTAAGTCCACTATTTACGCCAATGTATATAATTATCAAGTTATTTTATTATCACATAAAAATATTCATAATATTAACTGTCAATTGTCACTGACCAAAAAAAACTTAATATATACTTAAAAAAACTCGATACTAGCTTAAAGGGAGAACATTATTTATTAGAAAATAAAAACCAATAACAATAATAAAAACAAAATTTTTGAATAGGTATCGCGGATTAAAATAATTTTGACACTAAATATGCTGATAGAGCTACTATGGTACAATTTATAGTTGTCAAAATAATAACATCACGGTCAGTATATTTCCAGTCTGGCTCTACGAAATTTGTCACTTTATCTGAATTTAACTTGAACTGTGCATTTTTCAACATTTTATTTTGTTTTTGAACTTGTAACAATAAATGTTTAATTTGATCACTTTTATTTGAATTTGATGAATCCAATTTGGCATCCAACACCATTCTTTTGAATTCATTCATTTTCCATGCATTGATTACAGTACTTCCAATTATACCAATAATAGTACCTAGAATTGAGCCAACAATAGATACATATTTAGTTCTCTCCGCTTGTATTCTCTCTCGATCATGACTATCTTTTAAGGTGGTGGAGAGCAATATAAAACTATCTCTTTCCTCCTTTTCACTATAGTTAACCCGATCGATGATTAGGTTTTCTTGTTTTAATAAAGCATGTTCCTGTGTTACTAATTCAATGTACCTATCATCTGATCTAGAAGTATTTAGAAGTTCATTTCGGATGTCTTTAAGTTTGTTTTGAATTGTTCTTAGTTCCACTGATACATCTCTTCTTCTATCTTGGGCATTCATAAATTGCTTTTGAGACTCCAACACTCTATCTTGGGCTACTCGAACTTCACTTAAACCAGTCACCCGTTCATACCATGAAACAACTTTATCATATTCTGGGCGATAAACTGCAAGTCGGTTATATAATTCAGCTCGAGAATTATTTGATTTAGAAAGTTTGGTTTGTGCTTTTTCCTTCATTATTTGTAAAAATGTTTCTATATGCTTTTTAAATTTCATGGTTCAAACAATATTAAACCAATAAGTCACAATCTATTTGATACCCACTGATAGGTTCTGATGGACCAGCATACTTCTGAAAATAAGGAAATTGATTTTGAGATATTGAAAATAAACTCTAATTTAAATTTTACATTACATATAATGAATATAAAAAACATGTATAAAATACAATTTAAAAAATTGAAAATCAATCCCATAAGTAGTTAATAGTAAATTACAATGAACATTACATTACATATTATATGTAATGTAAATACTGAATATTATAGTATACTGAACTACATAAATATAATTGAAGAAAAAATGTATTCCAATATAAACACATGCATAAAAGTAAATTAATTAAAACTATGATAGTAAGTGAATTATTTTTAAATCATTATATGTCAATTTCACATTTTAAGACAGGTTTTTTAGCACTCTGGCTTCTATCTTATGATTGCTGTAAGATTTAATTAAATTGGATACATTGTTTACTAAATAATAATTTATTTGAATGAAATATATTATTTTTTCTTGTTTTAATATTAGATATACATAGATTGAATGATTAAAAAATATAAACCTTATTTCCAGAAGTAAATACTGCCACAGAAGATATGATTTGTAGAATATATTTTGTACTTAGTATAATAGTATGGTAGGGGGCAATATAGACTAATTAAAAAACAAATGTGAAGTGTGTTAACTACTTCGAATGTTTGAATGTCAGTGAATTATTTAGTTTGTAATTTAATTTTTAAATAGATTTAATTATCATGGGTGTGACAATTGACATACCTATGTATTTTAGGACAATTCAGGTACACATGATTGATTAAAGATAGGTATTGCTTAAAACCTATTTATAATACATACATAAGGGAATAATATATATTAGTTTACATACTTGTTTAAAATAAAAACTTTGTTATCTAATGTAGACAGGTAGTCAAAATGTCAAATTATAATCAACTAAAAGGAACGGCAATTTACCAGTTGGAATTTTCGACATTCAAACTAAATGATATACACTGCTATAACAAGTAGTAAATATGAACATTTTACATTGTTACTATTGAGTATTGAAGCACAGAATTGGTGACTTTATTAAAGTAATTAAGTATGATTGTATGAACTTTAGGATTATTTTTTATCCTCATTTCAACTATCAACTATCAAGATTCAAGACATCTGATTCAGATACGGTATTATGATTTATTGTAAAAACTAAAAAGTGGTGTCTTGTTGGTAATTGACCAATAAAATGGACTATAGTTGTAGATTACGGTTATCAAATAATATTTTGACAAGCGTGCCAACTGCTTACACCATACAATTATTGTGATATACTTTTTCAATTTTTACTAAATAAAAAATATTATTAAATCTAATTTCGATATATTTTATTTATTTTGATCTTTAAAAAACCTATCTGCTTGATAAATTAGTTTTTACAAAATTGTTTTGGGATTTTTAAGTACAAATAATAAAAAAAAAAAATGGAGAAAGTTGATGTCGATGAAATGTGTTTGTGTTGATAAACGATTAAAATGGCCGCCGTTTCGTTTCGAGTACAACAAAAATTTGGTGCTTATTGATTCGTTTTTTAATTTCCAAAACAAAAATTACGTTAAGTCTTCGTATAAATGGATCGACTCGTGGAAAAACCTTTTTGTAAGTTTTGCACTGTAAAATAAAGGACGTGAATTTACCGCTATGCTGTAGTAAGTACTGCCAGTGATTTTTTTTATTTGAAAATATATGTTGTGAATGTTTATAATGTCCCTTGTGCTCGTGGGTATATGATAGTGAACCTTGTGAAAAATATTGTAATAAAATCATAAAATGAGCAAAAGAACGGGTCGTAAACCAAAACGTGAACGTACGTCAAGGCGTCGTACTAGGCGACATTCGTCTACGTCTGGAACATCGTCAGAAGATGCGCCACCCCCCAAAGTTGGCAAAACTCGAGCTACTAGCAGAGTTGATGAGAGTGAAAGGAAGGTTGCACTAACAATAAAACTGCCTAAGCCAGAAAGTAATGATTGCAGTGAAGAGAATACCACTGGTATGTGGAAGGTTGAGTGTTCCAATGGATCAGATGGCGATATTCAGAAGTTAAAAATTAGTTTGAGGCGCTCGCCTAAGGATTTACTTAGAGAGCAGGCTGCTGAAGCTAAATATTCAGCTGAAAGGAAAGAAAAAGAAGAAGCCTCGGGCAGTTCAACAAATCCGTCTATGTTGGATGGTAGCGTTACAAATTATTTAGAACAGTTTGGTAGTACTGTGGCTGTTGAAGAAAGTGAACAAAACATAGTTGATTCTAGTGAACAAGGTAATGTTTAAAGATATTTACATTAACACTAACAACAATAACCTAATTTAGAAATATTCATGGGTTTCTATTAGGTATATTTTAGATAACCTGGGTAGTTTGTTGTAGTTAATAATATAACTAAACATTATTCAACTATTTTTGAATAAAAAACAATGTTAATATTTTTCTTGTAGATCAGCTAACAATAAATGTTTTTCATATCACACTTAAGTATTTAATATAATATCAATTGTAACGATTATAAACAATTTTAACTGTTTAGAAGTTAATGAATGTGTTTAACCAAGTATTGATAAATAGTATTAGAAAAATTGAGTTTGTGCATACATTTTTTATTGCACTAACAAATTGTATTAAATTATTTTTATATTTTACAGTGTTTGTTATTATAATATTAAACATTGAGTAGTAGGTAAAGTTAACATTGAAATAATGAAATGGTAAATTATGAGTTTAACTATATCAAATATGCCATCTAATATGTAAATACATAATTTTTTTTATCAATGTAGGTTTAAAAAAATATAATAATGTTCTTGGGTACCTTTATTTAATAAGAAATAATAAAATATATATTAATACAAATTAATTAACTGCAGTATGAGAGTGTTTCAGTGTTACAAACATTTCTAATTTCAGTTTATCTACTGTATAATGAAATGAAAACAGCATTGATAAAATATTTTTAGTGTTTTAATTTTAATAATAAGAACCTGGATTTGTTCTATAGTTAAAAATTACATATGTATCTATACAAATTTTAAATTTGTGTCATGCTAGTAGCTAGTGTAAACCATTTGTCTTAATTTCTACCCACATTTTGTATAAATTGTATCTACTAATTATGCATCAAAAATTAATGGTAGTATTTAATTTTTAACTGTTTTTTTTTTATTTAATAAATTTAGGTACTTCCTAATATTTTATCAATTTAACAATAATGTTAAATAAAAAAATTGCTTTGAAAAATTAATATTGAATTGAACCTTAAATATTAGGTGTCTATATATTAATCCAAAACATGTTCTTAATGTTTACAGATTTACCTATTAATAATTAACAACTTAATTAAAATTTATTTTTTAGTTTTCATAAAGATAGTAATTTGAAACTGTATTATTTTCATTTTCAGTGCAAGTTGTTATCCCTCCCAATGAACCATCATGCAATCAAGAAAATATTGATGATCAACAAATAGACAGCGTTGAAGTATCATCTAAATGCATAACACCTGATGAAGAATCTATTGTAGAGAATATCTCTACTGATGAACAACTTGGTGTAGTACTAATAGTTGAAGAAGTTACAGAAAATGAAATTGATGGAGAAGTTTTAGAACCAACCAATCCTATCAATTCAACAAAAGATTTTCCAGACTCTACAGTCCGTCCACCCATAGATGAATGTAATATTCCAGAACCGGTTTTAGAAGAGAATTGTGTAACTACTGGAGAAGTTATTGATATTCCAATAGCTTTAAGTGAAAAGATTCAGGATATTGTACCAGAATCTATTAAAAGTATAGTAAATGAACCTGAAGTTTTAGAAATTTCATCAAATGTTGAGATGAATAAAATAGAGGATAACCCAATAATAGAAGTGTTCAATAAACCTGATGAGATCAATGATTCAGAACAAATGGAAGATGTTGTACAATTAACTGTTGAATCACCAGACTTAGTTGATGATGAAGATCCTAAACCAATCGACGAAGAAACTAAACTAGTTGACGAAGAAGAACGTAAACCAGTCTATGAAGAAGAATCCAATTCAATCAACGTAAATGAAACTGAATCAGACAATGGAATAGAATCTAAACCGCTTAAGGAAGATGAATCTAAACTAGTAGACAGAAAAGAAACTACATCAATTGAAGAATCTTATAATGTTCTATCATCAGATATACCTAATATAAAACAGGTTGATGATGAAAAAGAATTAAATGAAATGCCAAAACTATTGTCTTCACACCCTAAACGTAAATGGGGCTCTTGTAAAACAAGAACACCTATAACGATAAGTCCATTTACTTTAGGTACTATAATAGAATCTAATGGGGATTCTATTGCTGATAATGGTGAGTATCGATCAGAAGAAGGAGAAATACAAAAGACAGATTCAGACGACGAACAAGATGTCGAAGAAGCTATGGAAATTAATGATACTATGTTAATTGATCACGAAGCGGTTGATTATGAAGCACCAGAAGAAGAAGAGAAACCTTTCATAGATAATGATGATAATAAATCTGATAAGTCATTGGCAGAAGAAATAAATGAAGTAGAGACAAAAAAAAAATCTTCTGTAAAGCGTGTCACAACTACTAGTGTAATTCGTATTACAAACCTTGTCAGGCCATTCACTGTTGGTCAACTAAGAGATTTGTTACAAAGAACAGGAAAAATAGTTTCTAATGGATTTTGGATAGATACAATTAAATCCCAATGTATTGTTGAGTATGAAAATGAAGATCAAGCCATTGAAACTGTATATGCACTCAATGATTCCCAATGGCCTTCGACCAACCCTAAATTTTTGAGAGTCGTTTTTACAAATAAAGAAGAATTAAATAAAGCTCTGAGTGGAACTCATCCAGACCGATTAGATAAACAAAAAGAGTCTAAAGTAGAAAAACTTAGAACCCAGGTAGAAAATAATTTTATTTTACGTGAATGGGATAGAGGCAAGTTGGAAGATATGAATGGTGATGGTGAAAAAGATGATAAATCTATTAAAAGAAAACTATCCGACGATCCTCATGCTATAAAAGATAAAAAATTAAAGAAGGACGAAAAAGATCTACAAGATAAACGCAAGAAGTCAAAATCCAAAACACCAGATCGTATTCCTACAAAAAGTTTAGACGAGCTTTTTCGAAAGACCAAAACTACTCCAACTCTTTATTGGTCTCCACTTTCTATTGAACAGATTGCGGAGAAAGAAGACCAACGACGTAAACATCTTGCAGAGATGGAACGGTCTCAAAAGACTGACCGTAGGAGACGAGGAGATAACCTTCATTATCCTAAGAGACGTTAGAATTTGTGTATAACATGTATTTTATATTTTAAAAAGAATACCTACATTTTATACAAATCGGTAAAACTTTTGAGTTTTGTCACCATGTACCAGAGGGTTAACTCATTACACATAGTAAAAACCGCATAATTATTGTAGGCTAATTTTTTCATATACTTTATTTTTTTTTTTTAGGGATATCACAATCCACAAACTGTTTTTATGATATTTTGATTATAATTCGTCTTTACGTTAAATAATTTTATTTATCATAATAAAGACTGTATAAAATAAAATTACCTACTGTTATTTTTGTATTTACTTGATGTTTAAATTTCATATTAGTTCATTTTATTGTTTAGAAATAATTTTGCCTTACAACCAGGTGTTGTGGTGTTTATTATGTTAGTAATAACATTAATTTATATTTTTCATGCTTGAATTAACTCCTGAAAAATTGTAAACACTTTGTATAAAATGTTTTAAAAGCTATTAAAGTTTATATTGATCAGAAAATATAATAATAATAATAATAAAAAAATGACAATTTATGAACACAACTTGGTTTAATATACAATATTTTACGGTTAAGTTACAATTTATGAATGTTGGAATTTTTTTTTTTGTTTCAAGGATTCATTTTTTTTTATTAGTATATTTGTCGAAATTTATAACAAAAGGACCATGGGCTAAATATTAATATTTAAAAAAGACTGATTATTGATGTCAGCATAAGGAAAGTTTACCATGTTTATTGGATCAATATGGTTATTTGTTTATATTATTAATAATATTGTTCACTACTATAATATTAATGATTTTAGACTTCATAAACACAGTTATTTAATGCTAATAATTTTAATCAATCTAATTGTACAGAAAATAAATTATTTCAGAATTATATTCCAAATGTTTGCACTCCCTGTGCATAACGAATACCTATCGTTTAGTAACAATGGCGTATATAGGGGGGAGGCCCCCTAGGCCAGAGCCCATAGTGAAATTGCTGGTTAAATTAAAGCATTGCTTGACTACACTGTTTACAGTTTTTCACCATGATTAATTTAGTCGGTTGATTAAAATCATTTTTGAAGAATCAACAAGAAAATGTTAGATTGTTAAGAATTGCTTTGATGACTGATGTTAAATTCATAGTAAGATAACATTAAATATTAATATATATATGAAACTGTCAATATTTAAAAAAAAAAATTAATTTTACATGATAATAATAAAATAAAATTACCCAATTTTTATTTGTATTGTATAATATGTCATACTTATAACCACTCAGTGCCCTAAAAAATGTATAGTTATGCCTATGTTAGTAGTACTATGCTTGACTAGTGACAAATTGGCCCATACTGAAAATAATTTGTATATACGCCACTGTTTTGTAACTTCCGTCTCTACATTGTATTTTGTTATATTTTCTTAGATAAAATAATGGTTCAATTTTGTTTTTTTCTAATTTAATTTTGTTGTATTTAGTAAAAAATTTAACATCTTAGTATAGGTAAATAAATCAACTTCAATGTGTTCAAAATAAATATTTTCTAAATATCTCATCTTTGAATATGATTCATTAATATACATTTTTTTGTATTTATAAATAATATTTTTAATATATTATGAAATTTGAAGATTAGTATTAAGATTTCATATAATTAAACAATTATTAAGTAACAAACATATGTCAATTAAAATACAATTATATACTCCGTTCATATTTAGAAGGTACCTCAGCGACTGACTCGTGTACAAGCGCCAATAGCATGGGGTGTCTGCGGGTTTAAGTCCTTTTCCAAAAAACCTCAAGATTTTGCTTTACACCCCACATAAAATGTTTAACTCTACATCCAAATTATTCAGCCCCCCCCCTACCTCAAATCCAAATACTATTTGCACCCATGCACAGGGCCTTTACTACACAGCAGGCGTATAGATGGTTGACTTAGTAAGGATAACAGACAGGTGTTATCTTACTGCCATCGAGGTTCCTTTTAACATGAATGGTATAGGTGAAAATGTATATTAGTAATATTAAAATTGTGTAAATAAAATTCGACAAATGTAAAGTATGTATCACAATATAGTAAAATTAAAAATATTAAAAATAAATTATTTTGATCCTGCAACTATTTTACAAAACTTGAAAGTAATTTAAAAATGAGTGGCTTAATTTGTTTTTTAGATCTAATCTTGTAATATTATAATATATATTGCCGTATTTTCTCATCATTATTTCGTTAAATGATGACTTAATTCTTGGTTAATAGTTGAAAAAAATATATTCAGACATAATTTTAGATTCTTTGCCACAAACATTTTTTTTTTTTCCGATAACCTTGCACTTTCTGTAGGCGTATAAAAACCAGTTGATTTCCAAAAAACATATAGGTATAATTTATATATTAAATTATGGAATAAAACGTATTTGTATACAGTCAGCGCGTATAATTAACACAGTATTACAATTATTAAGAAAATATTTGATTTTGGGTATGACAGACTTCACCTTGAAAATATTTAACTAGCCTAAAATGCTTCCAACTTTTGTAAAACTGTTTTTGGGCATATTCTTAAGCCCTAAAATTATAAAACACTACAATGTTATATTGGAAATTATTCAGTATTTTTAGTTTATTGAACATTTGGCAATAAAATAGTAGAGTTGAACACTGGAAAAATTTTATTTGAAAACCTGATGGGAATGATAGATGAATATTAGTATTGTTAAAAAATCCAAGGGCTCTTTGTACTGATTCTAAATAGAATGAATTAATTTTACATCTGTATAATAATCATAAATGCCAACAATTTATTTGTCTTAAACAATTTCAAAGTTGACGAAATACAGCATTTCACAAAACATATTATACAAGTATTTTTTATTTAATATTATAAATAAGAGTAAAAAAATATCTATGTATTAACGCTAGCCTGTATTTTTTCTAATAATAGCTCCAATCTTTCTTTCATAACCGGTTGGCCTTTTCTTGTTTTTTTTCCAAGTTTTTTATTTTTTAACTTCTTTTTTTGTTTATATTCTTCTAGTGCTAGTCGGATTTCTTCTTTTTTTTTTGATGCTTCAAAGCGTCTAGCTTTCTTTTCTTCTTGAATTTGATTGTAACGTTCTTGTGCTTCTTTATGTGGATTTGGCCTGTGAACAAAACATTATATTTATAAATATTTAAACATTAAACCCATTCAATGGTAATTCGGAAGCCAATAATATAGTATAGTCATAGGCGTCATCTGGTGAGATTGGAGGCAGTAGCGTCATTGCAGTTTTCTTTAGGAGGTAACTTTATTTTTAAATATAATGTAGCAGATATTTCAGAAAAAACATTTGTATACCTAGAGCAGTTAAAAGTCTACAAACTATTATATGGATATTTATATTGATAAACAAAAATAATAGTAGGTTATTTATTATTAGGATATCTTCCTTTTTTTACTTTTGAAAACATATCAACTGCATTATCTATAAATCAATTTTACCTGATTCATCACTCTATTACTCTTATATAGGTATACAATATATCTACAAATTAATTTAAATTAAATTATATATATTTTTTTTATTGCTTGCTTATAGGTTCAAGTTTTGTCTGTTTATTAAACATACCAGAAATTATTATTGATTCTTGAGGAGTTTGCGGTAATTTTATATTTTTAGCCGCACCACCCATTTATTTTTTTTTTAAGTCATAGTTTGCCCAGATTAAAAGATTAATGTAAGCACACATCATGAAAAAAATTAATTTTAATTTAGGTAGAATAAGGTACTCAACTAAAATATTAACAGAATACGCAGAATAGTTGAATCACACACGACTGTCGCAACCAATTAAATACAAATCTGGACCCTAGCAAAAACAAAACCTTTCATACCATCAAGGCCCAAGCGACTAACGGCAATTAATAAGAAAGAGACCGGTAAGTATATTATTTATATTTCTTTTTTTAACAATGCAATATTTAAGTTTTTTCTTACCTTTTTTGCTGTTTAGTTAGATTGGTATCTTCATCATTTAATGTATTCAAAGGTCTCTCGGTACCAGATTTGTTTAACTCTTTGTAGTAATCACGAATTACAGCCTTTTTGCGACGCTCATCCCAATCTTGTACTGAAAATTATGTGATATTAGTATGAATAAAATATAGAAAACACAATCTCAGGAATAATATAATATTACAACAGGTCTTTATATAGTTATTTTTTCTTATTTCAACTATATCTGAGATGATAGGTATCTAACCTACCTATACAACAACAAATTTTAATATTTTTTTTTTATGATAGAAAGATATCTAAATTGTAATGGTAGTTTTTGTTACCCAATGGAAATAATTTATAATGCTGAAATGCTGAATAAAACAATAGTTACAAAAAAATAAGAAATTATGAGAAAACTTTAACACATGAAGATAAGAATAATATCTAATATAGATCAAGTTTTGGTAACAGTTATTTTCTTTAGTTTTTGTACTTAATTATAAATAATTATTAAGTTACTTTTTTTCTACAATATTATACTGTATTACATTTTTTGAATCATAAACACACTTTGAATACCATTAAAAATTAGATACCAATTACAATAATTTATATTTCAGTTGTTATGCTTACATTTTTGTTTATTGCTGTATTTTTTTGTTCTCCATTTTTTTTTATCGAATGGTTTTTTTGTTTTTTCCACTTGAGATGACATTATTTAATTCCGTATTTATCAGTTCAATTATTTTGTAATTTTTTTAAAGTAAGCTCAAGAACTGACCAGTCACACGACACTCACTAACTAGTCTATGACAGTATGGTAAATGGTAATAACTAGGTAATAACTAATAAGTAATATTTATAGGTTAATAGGTAATATACTATTATACTAATATTAAGTATAAGTCACTTTGCAGTTCAGATTCGGTAATTTCAGAATTCGGAATAATATTTTAATAATTACATTAAATTCATAATTTTATTATCATGATTCATATTATCACAGAAGCGAAAAAATGATAAGAATTTTTTTTTTTTAATCGAAATTGTTATCGATAACATCGGGCTCATGTTCCCAAATTTTAAGCCCGTGTTAAAGGGTTTAAATTAATAATTGTTAATTAAAGTAGAATATTAAACTTACTACTCAACTTAATATTATCTTAGTTCATGGTACTTACTGATATATGAAGGGTTACGAGGAAAACGATCATAGTCAAAAGAAAGAAAAAAACAAATAATTATAGTACCTACTTTTTGGTTAGTTTCATAACGAATCGAGTTATGGAAAAAAGATCACGGTAAATGATATTGTACATGTTTAAATATTACCATAATGGGAAAAAAAAGGCCAGAGTCCCACTTTAAAATTGCAATACTGAACATTTTAGGAATATTGACTTTTATCGTTTTTCCCCGTAACCCTTCATATTATACCCAAGTGATAATACTGATTCATCTCAAAATCCTACCCTAAAAGCTCATCTTTATCAATATAAAATATTAGGTACGTATCATAGCATGAACTAAAATAATTGACCAAGGTGTGTATTGATACACCTCGGCATAGACTTATAGAAATAGACGGAACATTAGGTTCAATGGTGGAGCTATATATTGGCAAATGTCTATTTGAATATTTCCATGGCGGTAGGTGCTTTTTTTTTTTTATAAATTTGTCACATTAGTGTAGGTACCATAATGTGTCAATATGCCATTATAGTTATAAATTTATGTTTGCATGTTTCATAATATTAATATTATCAAATTCGTGTTATAATTTCTGCACCCCACTTTGTGGGGTGGTAGTAAATAGTAATTCTTACCTATCATCAAGACTTGTTCAGTAGGTAAAATATGTCAATTTTTAATAAAATAAAAAACAAATACCTACCTACCATCATTACAACGAGGTAACTAAATCATAAATTAATAGATAATAATATGAGAGACCATCCTTTTTTCAACCTTGTATTCAATATTATGTGACGATGACTATAGTTCATAGCAGGGGCGTATACAAGGGGGGTGAGGGGGTCAGACCCCCTTCCCCCATTGGCGTTTTATTACCTTAGTAAAAAGTTTTGAGAGGGTGGGGGATTTTCCAATTTTCCCCTCCCATTTAGATATGTCGTTGTCATTTTTTTATCCCCTCCCTTTCAGAAATTATGTCTACGCTACTGGTTCATAGGGGTCGAATGACTGTGTCGACTATCAGCAAATGTTATAATTTACGGACGCCAGGCCTGGACAACATTAAAGCCCAGTATAGAATATTATTTCCCATATTATTGATTTTAATTTCCATTCACGTAGGTATATAGGTGCCTAAAACAATGAAAATGTTTAGCGGAAAAACAATAATTACATTATTACCTGTTCGTTTGCAGTCAACTGAATCCCGGGGGGGGGGGGGTCGGGGGTTACCTATATATATAATCATATTATATTATAATAGATAATATAATATTATTAATATAAGAAAAATATATATATACGATACAGGGAGAACAACGCGACACCACATGACTGGACTAGAACAATTTATTTATTCACGTAGAACACGTACATTATAAATTTCATATGTTTTTGTTTATGTCTTTATAGGTGGAAATGGCGAGATAAAGAATGAACACATAATGTAGATACGCAGAGTGGAAGTGGTGGGTTTTCCACAACGAATCGATGGAAATTTTACATTTTTTTAAAAATTATTTAGCCATACGTCGTGGCTTTACTATATAATATTATGATGAGTACAAACAGGTAAGTACTATAAAATTCATTATAATAACTGCGCTACGCACACGAATTATAAAAAATAAATTTGACTTTCATATTATTGGGCGCAGCTATAAGGGCGTGGTATGTACGGGCTATAGGTCATATGAGCCTATAACTTCCTTTTGACGGACATGTGAAGTTATCTACGTGTTTCTAGAGCCAAATGTCCAAATCGATGGTATAGGTACATCGTACATGAAATAGGTACATTAAATAACCTAGAACCAATAATATAATATACATAATTTAATAATAATACCGTTGAACGTTGATTAAGAAATGTAATACATGCATATTGTTCTATAATGATATTGGTATGCATTTAATGTTTATTATATAATGTATATTATTATTTCATTGACGATAAGTCGTAACGGCGCTGATATAAGTGATAACAAATAATTACCAAAAACACTGCAGGTCGATCATTTGGCATTACCTACAACATTTGTCAATGTGTTCAAAATCTTACTAAAATCAACTAACTAGAACTCGAGTACTTACATTTTTGGATGATTTTTGAAAGAGTTGGTTATGCTCATTAGTCATGTTACAATGTCACGACAACTTCGCACGTACCTACCTACCCCAAAGATACGTCGCATAACAACTTTATTAATTTAAATCTAGCTGCCTAAAATACACAGGATGACATGTGCAATGTCACAACAAATGTCACAGAATACTAATGAATACTTACATTATATAGATTTTATAAATGAGGAAAAACATTTAACTGTTAAATATTGATATTCGGTAGGTATTATAGGTAGGTAGTAGGTACTATAATATAGATTTATAAGTCAGGCGTAGTCCAGAAATCTAGGATAACTATTTAAAAGTGAAACCTCCTAAGACCCAAATACATATAAATATAATTTGGTAATTTAGTACCTATATTGTACCTATATTGTATGTCGTATACACATGCACTGTGTACAGTGTACACTGGGCACTTTACAAATTTACAATAATAAACCAAATTCAATAAACACATAACACATATTATGACATAATATTATAGATATTATTTCGATTATATATTATAACATTATTTTTATATAGTATATGATATTACAATCGTATTCCGAAACATAGGAGTGCGCAGACTTTTTTCGCAGGGTATGCCGGTATTTTTAAACATACCTAGCTCAATACAAAAATAACTCCCCAAAAACTCGTAATAGATGCAACTAACTATAACTCGACATATAATGCGAAAAGAAATTAACATGCATTTTATTTAGCTTATTTATTGATTTTAGATATTTTAATTAGAAAAGTTTGTACCTACTGTGATTTCATTCCAATAAAGTAGCAGCATAAAAACCTACAGACATTTCATCATATTATACATAATAATATAATAATGACAAAAATTGATAATCTAATTAATTGAAATTCTTAAGTTGTAGGTAGTATGAAAATAAGCAATACCTCAGGGGCCTGAATAATAGGTGACAAATCCCGCAATTCTCGTGAAAATGGTGAATTTTGATTTTAACAATATTATCATGAGTTAGCAATCTATTTTATTATTTCTAGGTACCTGTGGTGATTATGAAAATATAATTATGAAATCTAATTAATATTTGACTCCCAATATTTTATTATAAGTAAATAATATAAAAAATATTCAAAATATTTAAATTCATGATTCTATTTTATAATTAAAACAATTAACAAATAAAAAACTATATGGTTATAATAACCCTGGAGAGGATGCCATGGCATACCAGGCATCCCCCTGCTCACGCCTATGTTCCGAAAGTATAATATGAATATATGATGAGTGATGACTCTAGTACTCTACAACCTACTACTCAAAACTAGAATAAAAAAAATACTAAAGAAATTAAAAATGATGTACAATATTACAATATTACAATAATATTATGTATGTAATATTATTGCAATGGCCCCAATAAATTATTGAATTTTTGAGACACAATAATTTTAAAAAGCCGTGCACGCAGGTGCGTAATTTCAACTTTTATTTGTTGGTGCCGAAATGTTTGCATGGCATTCAAATCATTAACAGGCCACATACTTTTTTTTTGTGGGGAGGGTGGTCAAGTAGGGACAAAAACTGCTAGAATATTTGTATAATTTATTTTGGTTGGTTCAAATGTACACCCTGCACCCCCTCCTCAAATGACGCCCCTGCGTGCCCGGTGTTACAGCAGTGTAATACGATGGTTAATGGTTGACACCGCTGTATATCCCGTGGTGACGTTGGAGTACACCATTGCGGATAATAACATACATTTTTATTTTTATTTATTTATGGACCGCATTAATACGACCAGACTACATTATATTATATACGTGCAGGCGTACAGCAGTAAAAAATAATGTCTAAATATTGCTTTATTTCAAATCATCCGGATTCAATGACCAACAATAGTATGTAATAGTATAGTCTGTACGTTGCTCGCGGACTAAGTGCTGCACTGTAGTTTTTGTGGATTTGGGCGGGGGTTCTATTTTGATCGCGTAACCCATGCACTATTATAAAATAAAATATAATTACTCAGGATTCGAACATCGTCGTCGCTATATTTTTATTTTATTTTATAAAACCTTTCACTGCTGAATTATTTTTTTCCAGTATAACGTACTGTGCTGGGATAACATTTTATTTTTATTTTTAGACTCTGAGAGGAGCCAGGAAGCTAGTGGTTTTACAATGGTGTTTATTTATTATTTATTTTTATTTTTTTATCCTGTATACAAAATTTCTACCAGAAGGAGTGCTTCAATTTCAACATACAGTACCTTATCTTTTAGCAAATTGGATCAAGATGGTACTTTACAAAGATCATTTTTCTCAATAGTTATTAAATGCCACAGAAAAAACTACCGACAAATTACGTAAAACCTCTAAAAATGGGATTTTAATTTCTAACGCTTTGTTTATCACCATAGCAA